TTTCATTTTCAGGAGCACCATCACAAATAATATCTATCGCAAGCTAAAATAAACACTAAAATAACAACTCATATGGGTATTTTCTCACTCACAATAATGAATTCTCTATGAAAATTATAGCTAACTGAACTATGCAGTAAGATTGTTGGTGCAGGTACTGTTGAAAAGAGGATCCATTCTTCTACAAACATTTCTACACTAGCAGTCACATTCTGTCGCCGAAATAATAGAATTAGATAAATGTTGTCAGCAACGAAACTTTGAGAAAGTTGAAGTCTATCATAGAACTATGCTGCGCAGTAATCCGAATCAATTCAAACACAAAAGTATAGTTTCCCTCTTTTATCGAATGATTTTTCGATTTTTTTCTTTTATTGTTAAATACTTAGCAGCTCATGATAGGTAGACGAAATGTACCTTAGAGAGATGAAATAAGAATGATTTGTGTCATTCGACACAGTGTATAATTATATAACATTTAAGTGAAAATATTTTAATATACAAAACATTCCGGAAAATTAATCTATCAAAAAGTATGACGCAGTATTCTCTCTACCAATAAGTACTCAAAACATGATGTATTTGCGATAGCTATATCGCAGCTTTTTTCGTAGGAATAAATCTTTTCTTTTTATCAATTTTCTATTTTTATGCGTCGAATTGAATATCTCACTGAAACAAAATTCTCTTCTCATGAATCTCTAGAATTACCATAGAACTTGATTTAAACTTCCGAAATACCAGCAAGATTTTGTCTATATTCCTCATAGAGTAGATTGAAGTTCTTGATATAAAAAAAAGTATACAAAGGATAATATGTATTGGCAATAGCTGTAATTATTCATATACTTCAATCATATTTTTTCAGAACAGTGTTAGCAGTAGTCATATCTTGTTATTTCTATTAAAGTTACAAAAATACTTACACGAAAGACTGTCCGAGGGGTACGTCCTGAAGTGAAATGTTGAGTAAAATCTAGTCTCCAACGACATGATATTGGTGATCTTGAAGAATATTTTATCGATTCTTCAGCAATAGCTTCTTTCAATCGTTCCATTCGTTTTGATTTTATTCGCAACAAAGCACAGATGGCAATTGTTAGTCCAATAACGGTGCACATTAAAATGGTCCAAAAAATTGTTAGAGCTTTGCTGACCTGCATAGAACCATTAATTTTATTAATCGATTCGTGATATTCACTTTCACTAATGATTCCCCTTAATTCTAATGGATATGTAGTATCAAATCTTGATTGGAGCCATCCATCTGGAATTCAAAGAATGAAAATTATATCGAATTGGAGAATTATTACATACCCTCAATCATTCTTACATAAATTGTACGTGGATTCACAGCAATTACAATCATCTTTAGTTCATTAAATCGAATGATCTGAATTGAAAATCAAAATATTTTTCCTATTTATCAACGACGAACTCCAATAGTAACAGGTTGATCTATTTCAATCATATAGTTTTATTCTGATTCTTTATTATTACTTATGCTGTAGAATAAATGGAATATAATGATCAAGTCTCAAATCAGTTAACATTCTCATCCAGCTCATAAACGTTTAGCAATAATATTGATGAACTTGATAGTGCGTTCGTTATAATGAGAAAAAAAGAATAGATATTATTTTGCTCAATTTTTTTTTATTTAACCAGTAAATATGTGCCTTATTTTATATTCTTATCTTGACATCAAGGGTCTACATACACATATGAGATATCATTACTAGAGGTTCATGCCTTTGCACTCAACTGTAAATTTTTCCTGTTGTCAATGCCTGACTTTTTTTTATTATATTCAATATTTGCGGAGAGAAATTCATGAAAATTTACGTATCAGGTTTGTTGTGTAGCCTTACAAACTTGGAGCCATTGTAAAGATTTGAATATTTTTATAAAAATGAAAAATTTCTCTTTTGGCAAAATTCTGATCTATTATGATATATATAATAATGATCGCTTGAGTTTGAAAAAAACTATACCTACATGATACTAACTTCTTGCCGCCTAGGGTGTGAGTATGGATCTGTAAGTGTTGCCGTATCTATTGATCATATCCAGACCCATGTTCACACTCTTGAATCATCTATTTGGAAGAACATAGACCTATCTATCAAAGCCATGAGTTAAAATTTTTTTGAAATAAAGCTTTAGAACATAAGATAGTATTTTACTTTTTTGGTCTTTCAAAAACGATTGATTTTTCTTTAAGTTTTTGTTCGCTTGACGAAAATGCTCGTAGTTCCACGAATAAATGACCGGTTTTTCAAAAATTTCTTGTTTTTATTTCAAAGCCAATAGTCTTTACTAGCGCATGGATATGCCTCTGATGTACTAGTATATTATATGTAGTCTTATGTCACAGAAGAACATGATCCGAGTCATTTAATAATGCTTTGTGAAAAATTTGATTTATACTGGCGATTGTTAATCAAAGAGTATTTGTTGCACTATGCCGAAAAGCAGAGATCTCAAAATGCTGGAACATGGGTAAATTGTAAAAGAGGACACCGTTTCAGCCGTCAAAACACCATAGAAAACTTCAATAATATGTCTTTGAAATTGGATAATTTTAGACATGTTGCGTTTCTGATCTATTTATTTGTCATACTTCGCTCTGGAAAACCGTTTATATTTGATTTTTTTTAGAAAATCAAATGGCGATTTTAAGAAAGCAAGTTACGTTAGATTAGAACAAAACTGACAAAGTTATTGAAAAAGTACAAAATACATATTTATTCTGATCCACTCGTTATTATTGATTATTGAGTCAATATTATATGTAAATTGAACGGTAGATTATTACGAAGGTTTCTGCAGCTGCTCGCCATACTGCTGTAGAGATCTTCTTTCTGCTTCTCGCTTGGTCATCTCTTGTTGAACATGAGTTGGTAGACTCGGATTGAGACTCAAAGCGTAAGGCAACAGTGTTTTGTGTATGTCTCCAAAATCAACCATAATTTTAATGAACATTGTGTCATCTTATACATAGGAATTTTCTTCCTGTTGAATATTTTCCAATGGAAAAAATTTTGGTATACCGCTGGCTATATTCAGATCCGATCGAGGTCGTTGAAAACTACTCGATCTAATGTCTGGTCGAAATGAATCTATAATATGTCGCTGTGTAGGCGTGTGATCCTACAAACAAAATGTGACTTTATAGTTGAATGGAAATTTGAGAATCGCATCGTTGTCACTTCGCATAGGCACAAAGAATATGGACATATGTGTACGACGAGCGTTTCCATCACCATTTAAATAAAGACAAGCTCTCATTTTATAGCTAGTCGAAGATGAATAAAATGGAGGTGAGTAAATTGATGTTTACCTTTCAGACTGTGCATCCACTAGAAATTAACCAGAAAAATACATGAAGAAGAGTAGAGACAAGTATAAAGAAATTTAAAGGATCGATTTCATTTATACTTCATTTCGTTAATGTATCAATAGATTCTAGTCATATATTGTATTCAAAACTAATTATATATTATGTTGAATATGATATTCCATCATATTTGAGACCAGCACAAATCAGTTGTATCGTTCGAATAAAAAACATAACGAAGCTTATATCAAGTAGAATTCTCAACCCAACTCAAGAATTTTTTCAGAAAATATCTTTCACAACTGTGGCTAGCTTGGCTGCTAAAACCATCCCTGTAGCTATTATTTATAGACGAAGGATATAAAAAAATAGTGCCATTTTTCCATTTGAATTTCTCAAGGACACACTCAATAGCAATAAATTAAGCTGATTGTTTTCTGTTAAGGACGTTTTTCTAAAATTTGTTTATTTCCCTTTAGGAACGCCCTAAGATGATGCGATACAAAATCTACTAAATATATTGAAGGAAATCGTTCTTATTTTGCACTGGCTGGATGTACTCGTGGTCACAGATTTGTAAAAAATGTTCGACATCCTGTAAAATAATTTTTTACCGAATGACAACATGAATGAAGCCTTACTAAATTATAGCCAAAAGGTAGATCGATAAAACAAAACAAACTGAGTTTTTAAAGAAATCTATAATATTCTTTAGATGCATCTAAGATCCTACTATGTCTTGATTAAAATAATTTTTAGCACAAATAGACTGCAAAAGATAGAATGAATACTGCACATTTCAATTCTTAACTCTTTGTTGTTTGGAAGAAAATTTCAAAAGAGTGATAAAATGTCCCATCATGTTTCTCTCTCGTCACGAATTTTTTTCCCCAAAACAGAAAGAAGCCTAATGTATCTTATATGAATCGAAGGTTCGTTAAAAGACTCATCTAAATAGACGTGTAAAGTCATTTACGAGCTATTAAGGCCAGTTTACGTAGCTGAAAATAGGCTTTCTTCCGTTCTTTCTGAGTGAACAGAAGATATTTTTGAAAAAATAGACTTTATAAAAGATTAACATATTGTATATTGTTTAATGCAGTGAAATATGGTTTCTAGATATGCAATTCATATCAAAGGATTACAGTACACGATTCGACCAGAAGCATTCAGCTTTTCAAAAAGATTAAATTGTTAAAATTCAAAACTTTGTTACAAACGCTACTCCAAAAGTAAATATTTATTAAGGTTCAATAGTTTATGATATCACTTAGATCCATTCTCAATCCGTTTCTCTGAAAGAAACTTTCCGCATTTTCTTTAGGACATTTATGAGGATTCCATGATTTTCAAAAATAAGTTTAAAAGCCTAGTTTTTTTGAATTTCGACTATTCTTAGTATTTATAGTCAAACTACTACGAATATCCGTCATCTCGCTAGTAACAGTATCTAGTCCAATACATGAAATCACTCCACCGATAAATGAAATTTTCACAAAAGTTGAAGCCAAACGGTACAAATATCTTGCATATGTCTCATACATATTATTTATCGATGTTATAGATACCAAATAACAAAATTATTGTTTTATTACGTTCATGGTTGAGCGTAAGAGTAATTGTTCAACTTACTCATTTTCTCTTTAAAGTTTGTAATTTTTCATACGAATGTCCCATCATATGAAAGATATTGCAATTCCTTGACTTTTTCATGTATTGATGCTAAATTTTGATTGAGAATGTCCTGATTAAGTTTCACTCCTTCCAAAAGAGCATTTGTTTCTTCAATGGATAGTTTAGCTTTGGATAATTCTTCTGTCAATACTGCAATTGTTACTTGAATTTGAAGTGATTCATTACTTAGATGTTCTTGGTCATTGCTCAATGTGTCAATACCACTTGACAAGCTATTGAGCATTTCATACAGGTCTTGTAGTTGAGTTCTGTCTGTATTACAAATTCTTACAGTTGTTACTTGAGAAAAATCATTATTCATTGGTCTATCATTCCATTGTGATAACATTTGATGGACCATTTTCATTATGACGTGTTGATGCTGTTCAATTAAATAATGCTCTCTTATTTTGGCACGGATACTCTAAAGAATAAAAATTTTCAGATTTCGTTTTCATCTAGAGAAAATCCATACTTGTTCATTACAGCCAAAGTCTTTCAATACACAATCGACCATCAATTTCTGGCATTCAGAGACTTTATGTTCATTGTATTTGTTAACCGAGTCGAATTCTTCACTGCAATATTCGCTTTTTCTATTTGAATGAAATTCATCAAGATGTATCTTTGAAAGGAAAGAATAAAAGATAGAGAAATAAATTAATATAAAATAAATTACTTGATAACTATTTAAGATACCAGTCCATTCGCACAATGAACAATCAATAGGTATTGATTTCATATCATTGTTAAAACCTCGATCAAGCAGTATCTACAAAAATCAAATATATTTCTTCTTTACTTATGAAGGGATCTCTGACCTCATTTCGTGATGTTTCAGATTGACATTGTTGACATTTTATTGTCATTGTTTAAAAAGAATAATGAAGATTAATACTAAAAATTATTAATAATACTTGCTCATATTGAGCATCCAAACATGATTGACACAATTATAACTAACGATATAAAATAGTATAACAAGTAACTCTGTTGAGAGTAATAATTACCCTGTGTACTCTGTTCTTCTATTAAATATCTATCCTACACTTTTTACTATCAATATTTATTTTGAATAATAAACTCAACCGATTTTATCTTTTCGCTGTTGTTTCTAATTGTATATGAATGATTAAAATTGCATTACAATTTCTGATCATGACTTTAGTGTCAATAGAATAGAAATTATGCTGTAAAATCTTATTGTAGCATCAGATTAAAAAGATTAAGTATGAAAATCAAATTGTCATATTTAATTCTTAGACATTGAAAGGCACTTGAGATATTCTTTATAAGACTTGCTATATTCTGTCTGATTTTCGAAAGTAATTCTGATAAATTGAGAGATTAATCTCGTGTAAAATACCTAGCTAAATATGTCAATTTTAATAAAGTGATTGTACTTAAATCGACAAAAAATCCTTCTTCTAAAATAGTTCAAGTAACAAATCCGTGAATGTAGTAATTAGCTTTTTCCTTTCTTCATATCTAAACAAGCATAGAAACATATATAATTTCGTTTGGTAGGAATAAGTCTTTGAGCAAAATGAAGTTTTGAAATATCAAGCCTTGGTTGATCTCTCAATTTCATGCATCGTTCGAAAATACGAATAGAATGTCAATGAAGATTTAAAATCAACATAATTGTAAGAAGGAACTTCATATGCAAAGAAAGATTCCTTCTTCTTTGAAGTGTATGTCATATGTGACGGAAACAATTCTTTCATTCAGTGATAATAAATATTAATTAATCTTTTTTTATGAGATCTTTTCAACTTTACCCATACCCAAATCTCTAATGATTACAATTCATGTTTTATTATTGTATATTTGAAAAATGCAAAGTCAATCTTATTATTTCTTCTAGTGCCTATTTATAGATTCCTGTCAAATATTAGAAAATTTTCCATTAGATAAGAAACAGTATTTTTTGAATGTATAACTCGATTTGATAGATCCAACTAAGTTTGCTGTAAGAATTTTCTACTGACGCTTTACCATTAACTATCTCAAAAAGTTTCAAGTTGCAGAACAATCTCAAAAATATATTGAAGAATGATCACAAAAAGATCAACTAGTCCTGATTGTTAGTGGTGGGTTAGGGGAGAAATAGTCTCTTTTATGCACACACTTCGAAAATTTATATCAATCTATATGCATTGCCTGCACAAGGAAAATAATAAGATATGAACTTACAAATTTGCAAACGTACAATTAGATTGGATGATTTCGATTTCATTCTATGACATTTGTTGATAGGTAAAAATTGTTGTTGTTGCTGCACTGAAAGAACTCATCTCTCGAATTGAGACTGATCATAAAATTCAGAAAGTAGTAGAAGAATGGTTGTCAATTAATATTTTTACTACAGGTGCCAGTGCAGAATGTGGGTGCAAGTCTGCCTCTTCTTTTTAATCACACTTACATTCATACCTATGGCCATTGGTTCCAAATCTGAAGCTTGAATTTGTTTTGGGGGGCGGATTTAATGTTGGATTAAATCTACATAAATAGTTTTCAAATTTATCTCAAACCTCAAAATCAGTTTCTGATTGAATCACAGCACTACTAAAGTAGATCATCGTTGAAGTTACTCTATCTTATCAAATCCCAAGGCTTCGAGTTTGTTGTACTCCTAGGTTCGAACATGGGTGTAGTGGATGTAAGTGATGATGGTGTGTTCTCCCTTCATTCACATCTCACAATTCCTACTCATTGCTTCTTAGACCTTCACTCTATGTATCCTTCTTTAGATTTCTATGTTTCTTGTATTCTGAAATTCTCAGCGATAGACAGCAACAATTTGTTATGAAAACTGAAATGTAATTTTTCCATAATTTGAGAACGAGTTACAGTTCTTTATTGAAGTCAACGACGATAATTCAAAGCCATCTTTGTCAAAGTTTTTTTTTTAATCAATGTGATCTATCAACACTTTGTTATGAGTAGTGAAAAATCAGGTCATTTGATGAATGTATAGCAGAGATATTCAAATTGTTTTCTTTCACAAAATGACTTTTGGACCACTACTTATATCTCATCAGTTATTACTGTTGTGTTTTATATAGATTTTCTATTTCTTGTTAATTTTCTTCTCTTCTGTTATTTTCAGTCGTATCTGAGAAATAGTATAGATTTAGCTTGTAATGTTTTCTTTCCAAAATAATTGTGTAAGTATTGATTCTCTTCTTTACCCTTTCTTCTTCTCTTTTCGAAGAATATCCTAATGGAACACATTTCTTTTCTCTCTTTCATCATATCACGTACATCCATACTAATTGTTTTTTTTTTGTCCTTTAATATTAAATTAGTCTTTATTCCAATATGACAGTTTTTTTCTCTTGTTTTTCTATTTTGCACTGAAAGCAGCACATGCACTAAGACTTCTTGTGGGATGAAATGGGATAAAAATATGGTTCTATGGTGGCTAATTATACAGAACATTATACCACTACAAAAAGTTCGAAAGAGTTGATAAACATACTGTATTTCTGTATACAAAGCTTGAGGAAACTTTCTCTTTGTATGTAGTAATAGCAAAAAATGATGCTCTATATTTAATCTTTTTTTAACAAATACCATAATAATAAAATTCCGATAAGCATTGTTGGCTGGTATTCTCTTCTTTGACACCAACACCTCAAATATTGCTACGATGTATAAACTTTTGTAGAATAGAATAAAATTTTATTTTCGAAAACTCTATTACAATAGAGAAGAATGCAATCAATACGACAATAATAGTTACATTTATCCTTATAACAAAATATTTCTATAAGTAGCTGTTTATTTCATGGAGCTTTTCTATCCCACGCGAAACTCAGACATGTATAAATATCAATCGCATGCCATAGATGTAGATACACACAATCGCACGTATTCATATCAAAATTGTTCTGACTCTGTTGACAGAGGTAAGTTTGAGTAGTATTTCTCTCTTGTATCCGTTGTAATCAGCACTCACTGTATTAAAATAAATGAAAAAGAAACGATAAAGAACATTAGATAATTTTGGTACTTCAATGTCAATATCTATCAGTCTCTTCAATACTAAATAGAAATTCACTAAATTCAAACGATTTGGAAATTGAATTTGGGTTTCGGTCTACTGTCTAAACTCACTAAACTTGTTTTTATGTAACTATAAACAAAAACATATTTCTATATTTAACATTGTCAAGTACCAAAAGTCAAATTTATTGATAAATTTTATTGTATTCATTTTCTCGAGATGAACCACAATAGTTGCTTAGACGTCAAATTGCTGATGTTTCTATCGTAATATCACCTCAAAGAAAGAACTTATAAATATAAGGCAATTTTCTGATTCCAGTCACCATCTAAGAAAACATTATTTGAGTGAGAGTCAGAATTTGTTTGAAATATAATAGTTGAAATGAAATCCTCAACAAATTAGAATTCGTCCTCATAATAGAGATTTCTCTGCCTGTTAATAATCAAACAATTTTCTTCGAGTAAAAGAAGAAAAATACCAATTAAAAGATTCATTATCATAATTGATATTTTGAAATAATTTTTGTAGTTTACTGTTTTCGGTACTTTTGTGTCTCTTTCTATCTAAGTTCGTTTTGGACTATATATTGCAACTATCATGTTAGCGTTATATTAGTACTGATTTAAACTATCTATGAGATAAATCTGACAAAAAAAGCTGATTGAAAAAGCATTCTTTTATCAAAAACGTTCCGTTAATGTACCTAAGTATCACTTTAAAAGACGCTCTGACAAATCTTTTCTTTTATTATTGGCAACACATATAAATATTTTTTGAATGAAAAGGTAAAGATCGAACAAGTGTAAACATAAGAAGTGTCTCAATAGACACACTTTTTAGAACAAGATCGTATCTGAACACGATTAGACGCAGTCCGATATTAAATTGCCTCTAGAAGTGTTCGACTTTATATATTGAACTTTAAAAAGATATTACAATTCGTCTAAGATTTGATTTGATATCACCTTGGCTATCTTCTAATGATGATCTTTGCTTTATCAAAAGGGAACGAGATGTTGGAAATGAGATTAGAATAAATTAAGTAGTAATTAAGAAGCCAATGTACATACTATGTGGACAGGCATGACCACAAGCATCATAAAATGAAGCAGAACTTACATATGTATAGTGAATTCATACATGAAGGATGCGTGTTCTATATGCATAATTCATAAATAGCTTTAGAAAATGTATTGTTCAAAATAAATCGTATACCTATGAAATATTTTTTATTTCCAAAATGTAACATGTTTCGTTTTGAAAATTTCGTCCATAGTTTCTTTGAAATTACATAGCTTTCAATATTTGCTTATTTTATTTTATTCAATAATATATTTTAGTTCTCTCTTTAT